ATTTAAATTATTATATTAATATTTAATATCAAAGAAAAGAGCTGTCTTAAGGCACCTAGAAGTCCTTTTCTGATATTTCTAACTAAAAAATATTTATTTATAAATATACATAAAATTTTTTCTCATAATTATAATTTTGAAATAATAGGATTATAAATTAAATATATTTTGAATTTTTAAATTTCTAATAATAGAGACAATTTATAATTAAAAAGTACCAATTTTGGGCGTTGTAGGGGTGTTAATCCTTCCCTAAACGTAACCGACCACGAATCCCTTTTTATTATTAAAAAGAATGAATTTTTGGTTAAAACGCAGATCAGTTTATCTTTTAATTGATGTTTTCTTAAAAATTCTTTTAAAAGATATTTTTTTTAGGTATTCGACCTACCTGACCCAAAAGGCCGATGGCGACTCCCAAATTATTTTAAAAAACATTTATTCACATCACTTTTCCCGCCAAGTAAAAAAATTCGTGCCCGGACGAAAACCGGTTACGACACCATGTGTCATCAATAATTTTTTTAGATGCAAATATTATTGATGGGTAATATGACTCATGATAATGTATTCTGACTGACTTAAAGGGTGAATTATACATGATGATGGAAATGGAATTCAAATATGTTTTATTATAATTATGAAATCTACACAAATATGATAAGTTATTTAATTAGAAATATGTTTCACATTTCAAGTTTAAAGAGCCAAGGACCAAGGAAAATGATTCAATCCGAATTTTCAAATCGAATTTCTCCTATTACTCACAAATTAGATATAATTGTATTCATTTTGGGTTCATTTTTCTATTTTTTAAATCATACCTCAACTGTGTACTATATTTGTTCCACTAAATATGTCTCTTTTGGTTTTTAAATTATCTAAATAAAAATATCCTATTACAAAAGTCAACAAACAACAATACTTATATTTCATATTTTTTTTATACATTTCTCTCTTTTACACTTATGAAAATAAATCAATCAAATCTACCCATTACCTTTTTAAGAATAACTTTGTCATTTCCGGATTACATATTTTCAAATCACATGCATGCATCTAGGATATATTATTACGTGCATGAGAGATACGATTCTTGTAAATCGACCTGAAATTTGGTCTAAGGTCCTCCTTTATAATCGTCAACAAAGTTGGTGGGTTGTCAGTGTGCTTTTCTTCCCGCACGTCTGCTGCGGCACTTTTATTCAAGGTTTCACCAGACATGGCTGCCATTACTTTGACTTGAATTTCGGATCATTAGCAAGAGGACGTGGTGTTAGATTTTTTAAATAATATAAAATGTTCCAATTGTGACATTGTATTTAGAGCCAGGAGCAGATGTATATAGTCTCCAAAGGGAGTAACTACATACCCATTAATTTTTAGATCCGACACTATTTAGAGCATATTGAATTTGAGTCACCCCGTAATAGATATTTATAATACTAGATCAAAATTAATAAACGGATCAAATACCAATAATAATTTATATATATAAAGTATTGTAAGAACCATACATTTAAAGGAGATAAAAGAAAATTTGAACATTTCACTCAACTAGGAGAGGCACCTTTTGACTATAGGAATCTGATACCCCACGGCCAGTTGAACCTATTAAATATGCTGTTTTATAGCCCACGTTTTCTTTAACTTATGCCGGTATGAACTCATCACGAATAAGATACAACAAATATATTAAAAGAACTTTTGAATTAAGTGACAGATCTTGATAAAATAAATTGAGAATTCATTTAAAATTTTCGAATAACGGGATTTTCAAAAGATTAAAGGAGAATTTAATTAAAAATATTCAAGGAAATTAAAAGATAGAAAATTTAAAAGGACCAAATTATTATTTTAAAAAGGCTTGAGAGGTCAAATGCTAATTTTCTAAAATTTTAGGGACAGCTTTTTACCGCCCGCCTCTGTTTGAATGGATCTTTGTTCATTATACTCATAATATGCTCTTCCCTTTCCTTAATCTTATTTGTTTTCGGGCGTCATATGTTTGAAACTTTGAATATATATAACATCGATTCTTGTATTATATATGAATATTATTATTCATTTGTACTATAATTTGTATTACTACACCCAAAATAAATATTATAATAAATAAACAAAATTATAATTACATTCATATAATTATATCTATAATCAATTATTATAATATATATAAAATTTAAATACGAGTACTCAGAATCTCGATACATGAATCTTACAAAGGAAACAAAGGCCTCGTTGGCTACATTCCGATGTGTGAACAAGACAATGTGCACGCATAGGAATCTCAAACTCCAACAGCTTAGTTTCCCTATAGCCCAATCAAAACTGTATATTTTTTTATTTTACCATACGGTCACCAAACATTAGTGCAATAAGCTTTTGGGTCCAATCAAAATTGTCAAATTATGCGGACATCCTTTGGTTTTTCCCATTCCTCGATGTCGACGGTAAAGAATGTAAGCTATTGGCATACAATTCAAATTTTAGTCATCAACTTTTGGCCTCCCATTCCACATTCACCTTCAATTTTTTTCAAAAGATAAGAAAATAAAGCAAATAAAAGCTGTCACCGTATGTTGAAAACCCATCTACAAACTTTTTCAAACAAGAGAAAGTTTTTTTCTTTTTATTTTTCTCGATCTAAAAGTATATAACCGAATTTATATGATGTTGGAAGTGATACTAAAATATTGTTAATTTATCGGTCAAGAATCGAATTTTAATACTTGTTATGGTGGAATTATAATGAAATTTCTGCTTATAATTAGTTTTTTCAAACTTTTATCTTGATTTCCTTCTTATATTTCGATGACTAAAAGCAACCATGAAAGGATAAGAGAATAAGGATTATTTAAAACCCAAATTTCGATTCGTTTTTAGATATGCTTCACGTCAAATATGAGTTAGAATTTAATGCCCAGAAATATATTTAGACTAAAAGAATGGCATAGTTGATATGATACATATATTTTGAGGATTCAGTTAAAATATACTAAGCTTTTAAGATCAATTTAAAATATGAACTATGTTACGGGGATGTTCGACGAAAATAACCCAAATCTAACAACATTAGACTGATCCTTCAAGAGTATATTGCATCATCCAATTGCAGAAAGTCATGTAACTTATTCAAACATTTTGGTTGTAGACTTTTAAACTTTTGATTAAATTTTATATAATTTTTTAATATGTAAAATTTGTTTAAATGAGGTATCTTATGTAATATAATAATGAATTTTTAAAAATGTCAGATAAAAGCAGAAGAAAGTCTAAACAAATGAGACGGTCCCACCGGTAAACAACCAATAGAGAACAGATCTGAAACGTGGGAGTGGGAAGCTAAGGTGGGGCCAAGTGGGGACCAAGACACTGCCCCCACCCGGTCACCGGTCGATAAGAGAGCCGGGCCGTCAAATTCGTTGACCTGGTTTTCCATCTCCTTGTTTGTTCTACTTTTTTTTTCCTTTTTAAATCACGTGGAGAAACTATACATTTAATACCCAACTCAGCGATACAAATTACTGTTACGATAGTATTTTCCATCGGATTATGTTTATCGTAATTATAAATATAATAAATGTTGTTATATTAATTGTTGGTATCGCGGTCATACTATAACAGTCACAAAGAACACGTCTATCACTATATAGTAGGCGCTATCGTTGTAGCGGACAACTATTTAAATCTCTATCCCAACTATTATTTTTATTATATTTTAATCATATAACTATTTCTTTCAAAATCATATCTAAATTTACTTTTTGGTTTCATTTTTGTTATTCACTATTAAAAAATAATATAATTGTTGACATAATTTTTTAATGATAATGTGGTATAACCTTATGATGTCATGTCATCATCATAATTAGTTTTTTAACACTAGTGGACCAAAATAAAACCAAAGTTAAATATTAAATATGATTTTATCATTTTATAAAAGTAATAGTTGGATGATCAAAATGAAATTAAAATGATAGTTAGGTCTAAACTTGTAATTTACCCTAAATTGTTTTCCTAAACAACGTTACATAAACTATGTTTTTTTAAGTATCTAAATTATTTTTTAGTCAAACTAAATCCTTAAATTGTTATATATAACCACTTTAATTACCTAAACTATTTTTTGTCAAAATAAATCCCTAAACTATGAGTCTTTTTTCCTTTAATCCCCTAAACTATTTTTTAGTAAAAACAAGTACATACTTTTTGTGTGATGTGTTAACATTTTATTGGTCGAAAAATATTTTTCTAACTAAAAAAATGGTAGGACTTAAAATGATTAAATATAATCATGTAAGTATTTAATTTGACCAAAAAATAATTTAGTTACTCAAAAAAATATATATAATTTAAGTACTTTTTTACTTTAAGTCGTTCATTAAAAAATTAACATGATGAATTCAAAACAATGGTATTAAGAAAAAAAATCCACATCCCTTTTCAAATAAAACAATTAATAGTATAAATTATTTGAAGTAATTAATAATATTACATAAATAAATACATCAAATGGTGTCTAATAAAATATAATAATTAATCAATATACTTTTAATTGAATTATAAGAAATATAATATATTTTTTTGACGAATTATCATTTCGATCTTAATCCCACCTAAAGGGTAATAGAATATAGGACTCTAAGGGAAGAAAAGACTCCTAAGGGGAAAAGAAAACGTTCTTGGCGAGTCTAGATTCTAAAACTCATGATATAAGAGAATATGAAAAGATAAAAATAAACAGTTTGGTCAACTAACTAAATATATTTGTTATAATATCTTTTAGTATATCAAATTTAAATAATATAAATGAAAAAAATAGCATCAAAAGGGTTTATTCTTCATAAAATGTAATAGGAATTCTTGTGGTTATAACTTATAATCTCATAAAAGAAAGCGTATACTAATTAGATCTGGAATTTAAATATAGGGACTAAAAGTGTAGATGGACCCAAGATGAAATCACAACCACCAATCAATTAACTCAACAACTCCACTGGTAATTTAGTCTGGATGAGAACAATGGGGCAAAAGGGTAGTTTGCTTTAGTTTCCACAAGGGGAAGCGAGAGGGGGAAAAGGCAATATCCAGCTGGAACCGTGACGCGCCGTCTGACGTAGAAAAACCAAAAAGGTCACATCAAATTCTAAAAAGTCCAAAATCATAGACGGCTGATAAAATTAAAGGGTAAATTACTATGTCAGTGAACTATATTTAAATGATATTTTTGGTCACTAAATTTTCACAAGTTTATAAATAATCATTACATTTATTGAATTATTACGAAATGAACACTGGAATGTTATAATAAATGAAGACGTTTGATAAATTTTAATGACCATTTTATAAGGACGGTGATTCAATCCAATTTTTACAGGTTTAAACTCGATAAGATAGTTTTTTTTAAAGAATCAAGTTTAGGTAAGATCGAGTTCGAGGTTATGGTGAAAAATCTCTTACCTAATTCGTTCTAGACGATAATATAATTTTCTTCTACATATTTAAGGATGATTGCTATAATAACCATCTACTATATATATATTTTTATTTAAAACATTATTTTGATGAATAATAATAAATTATATGTGTTGAATCGAAAATAAGTTTTTACCACAAAATTATGGGTTGGATGAGACCTTTCTAAACTTGGGTGGAGTTCAGGTGGTGGGGATATGATTATAGGGTTGAGTTGATCTAAAATTTGATCCAGCTTGACCCATTGTCATCCCTAACATCAATAATAGTGTGATAAAATTTGATGATTATTTTAGAATGTTTAAAAGTTCAGTGACTAAAACAATTATTTGAGTGTAATTTAGTGACCTATTCTGTACTTTTTCCAAATATAAATTGAACTAATTGGAAAGAAAAATCTTGGTTCGTTTCCAATTTCCAAACCCTTTTTATAGGCGACCCCATTGCACCGTTTCAAGAGTTCACAGATTTCACATAACCTCTTCCATCATTTTCCAAGCAAATTTCTCTCTTGTGTCTTCTTCCAGCTCTTCCATAAAAGCAGAATCTTTTTGTTTAATTTATGGACAAAGTATGGGGTCTTACCCTTGAATCCGATCCAGTGACTAATAATTTCTTCTCCACCAAAACAAGTTCCAACACAGGTGCTATCTTCAGGTTGAACCATCAACGAGACATGTTTCATTTCCCGATTAGCCTTGCCGGGTCGAGAGACGACCGCCGGGGAACCTCCGCTTCTTCGTCATCGCCGTCGGATGATACACGGCTCCCCGTCGACGAGGTTGACTTTTTCTCCGATAAGAAATCCAGGGTGATCGACGATGATCGTGTTGAGAAGGAACACGGCGAACCCGCTCCTGCATCCGATTTAGATGTAAATGTAAGAGGATGATCGTGTTCAGAGTATTTTATTTTATTTTATTTTAACCTTAACTATAATTAGTTATGAAGTTTTTCTCCTAAATCTAGACTGGGTTGCTTCTTCTGACTGCCGGAAGTGATCAATCAACTGTTGACGACGGAGTCTCATCGGATATGGAAGATAGGAGAGCCAAGGATGAAGTAAGAGGATGATACTGTTTAAACTAAAAATTCATTTTTTGTCGAATTTTTATTTAGTCACTGTCTTCTTTGAACTTTTAAAAATTAATCCTGTTTTTACTTTAGAGATATTAATCTCTCTACTGATTTGAAAGTTTAAATCCAGCTGAAAACACTGTTTTTTGTGTTATCCAGAGAGGAATTAAATTTTAAAAGTTGGAAGAACATAGGACTAAGGGAATAATTAAACCTTTTATTATTTTGAATCGGCAAACTGAATAATTTTGTTTTGTTTCAGCTGGCGCAATTACAAGTGGAGTTGAAATTCATGAATGCTGAAAACCAAAAGCTTAAAGACATGCTCAGTCATGTCAACAACAATTACACTGCTCTCCAGATGCACCTTGTCGGCTTAATGCAACAGCAAAGAAACCGAGAAACCGAAACCACCCAAGAACAGCAGCAGGTTAAATTCGAAACCGAATCGAATATCGAACTCTTTACGGTAGCTGACATAAAATATGTTCGAATTTCAGGTCCAAGAAGTGAAATCCGAAAAGAAACATGGTGAAGAGATAATGCCTTTGAAACTATTAGATGTTCGCCCCTCCGGTGGAGCCGAAGCAGCCGAGATGGTGTCGACTTATTCTTCGTCAGAAGAAAGAACACGTTCGGTGACTCCGCAAAACAACGTGGAAAAAAGAGTCGGTAGAGAAGAGAGCCCAGAATCTGAGAGCTGGGGACCTAATAGCAAAGTCCCGAAGCTGAATTCGGGGAAACCGACCGATCAATCCGTCGAGCCCACCATGAGGAAAGCCCGTGTTTCAGTTCGAGCTCGATCGGAAGCTCCCATGGTATGCGTTATACCATGCTTTAATCAGTTTTTTAACTTTGAAATTGTAAATCGTCGACAAACTAATTGATCATTGATTTGGTACACAGATCACCGATGGATGCCAATGGAGAAAATATGGGCAAAAGATGGCTAAAGGAAATCCTTGTCCTCGAGCTTATTACCGATGCACGATGGCTGTTGGTTGTCCTGTTCGGAAACAAGTAAGTTGCAATCTTCGTCTTGTTGATTTTTAAGGGTTAATTGTATAAAAAGTCCTTTAATGATGGCTCAAATTCTAAATTAGACATTAAATGTTAGTTCGATTAGTCGTTGAACATGTATAAAACACATAATTCAATTGTTATAAAGGTTAGGACTAATTGCAAGGATGTGAAAAGATATTACTAACACTTTCAGGGATCAGTATTTGAAGCCACAGTTTGAGGACAAGTGTTGGATTAACCCTTTTTTCCATTTTGATGTTATCTAGATTTCATGCCCTGAAGCTGACTTATTTTTTTTATGATCAATCTCAGGTTCAACGCTGCGCGGATGATAGAACAATCTTGATAACAACATACGAGGGCAACCACAATCACCCATTGCCGCCGGCCGCAATGGCAATGGCATCGACGACGGAAGCAGCCGCTAGCATGTTGCTTTCAGGTTCAATGCCAAGTGCTGATGGTATCATGAACCAAAACTTGCTTGCCAGGGCAATCCTCCCATGCTCCCCAAGTATGGCAACCATTTCGGCCTCGGCCCCGTTCCCCACCGTGACATTGGACCTCACACATTCACCGAACCCTCTACAATTCCGAAGCCCGCCGCCACCGCAGCCACAGCCGCCTCTGCAATACCAAGTCCCTTTCCCCGGCCAACCCCGAAGTCTGCCTCAAGTTTTTGGCCAGCCAATGTATAATCAGTCAAAATTCTCAGGCCTGCAGTTGTCACAAGAAATGGGGTCTTCACAATTAGGCCTCCAACACCAAGTCCCATACCCACCATCGCAGCAGCAGCCTCAACAGCCTTCGTTGGCCGACACGGTTAGTGCCGCCACAGCTGCCATCACCAACGATCCTAACTTCACGGCTGCTCTCGCTGCTGCCATCACATCCATCATCGGCGGTGCTCACCCGAATAGCAGCAGCAACACTTCCAACACCACCACCACATCAAACAATAGACAATAATTAAGATCTTAGAGACATTTTTTGAACTGTTGAAAAGAAGATTACATGTTTATATTTTTTTTGTACTTTGTCATTCATTTTTTTTATTATTGTTCTATGACTTTGAATAATTCTGTTCAGTTCTTCGAGTAAATACTCACACAAAAAACATAATTTCCTTCCTCAACCCTATCCATTTACTTCTGTTTTTAAAGGATAAATTACACTACTAGTCCCTAAGCTTCTCTAACCTTTGATCCGTTGTGTAACTTATAAAATTACAATTTTCCCACAAGAAAACGAAAGGTAACTTTCTCGAGGGTGTGGAATATCCTACACTAACCAGTCCAGAAAATACGGCTGCTACACTTTGACACGTAACTTATACGTATATTAAGAAACAATAGACTTTTTAGTAGGAGACTTCAAGGCAACTACGTCTGCATTGAATACAAGGAAAAGAAAAGTCGATGGAAAAGATGCTTGTTTGGGTCAAATTTGATTCAATGAAGAAGATGAGGATATTATAGGTTTGCAGTTTCATGGAAGTTGCGATTATTTCAATGGACAACTCGGTTACGTTTGTTTGACTTTCCGTGCGTCCACTTGAGTGTCATCTTCATGGTAATTAAAACATCCCATCTTGTGTGATTTTTTTGGGTCTAATTGTGTTTTAGCCTTCTGCTATGTTTAAATTTGAAATTTAATTTTATTCTTTTATTTGTTATGATATTATCTCTTTACTTTCAAAATAGTGGTGACCACTCCAATAAGTTAACACTATAAATTATTTTGATGAACTAAACTGGAATGTCTGGTTGAATCAATTGAATGGAAATTAGTAGTCTGATTAATTCAACGGTGGGGTAAAAGAAAAATTAGAGGGAACAGTTGTCAACCATTAAAGATATCAAGAGTTGTCACATCCCAAAGTTAGAATTAAATTGAAGTACCTGTAGAGGTTTTGTGCCGTTTCATGAGTTTTCAAAAGTATAAGGATTCGGACTAACCCGAAATAAAATTAAATCAAACCTTATAGGCTTACAAGAAACTTTGTCCAATTAGGAAGTGAATTGGGCTTGGTTGAGCCCAAGATGAATTAAAAAAAAGTACTTTTGATTGAGGCTAAACAACTGAGGTCTAAAGTTGTAATACCCCCCCCCCCCAAAAAGTCTTTTAAAGGCCGATTCCTCTTTTATGAGGGTTATGTCACCGTGAGAATCACCCCACTTCATCCTAGTCTTCTTCCTTTCAAAACACCCTTCTCCTCCTCTTTTTGTTAAGTAAAGGTTGATGCTTTGTTAACATATTTCGATTATTATATATATATATATATATATATTCAATATTTTCACGTCAAATTCGAAATAAGTAATGATTTGGATGAGTAACAATTATTACCATGATTTTGGTCACATGAAGTGTCGTCGGTATTATTTTTCAAAGGAATAATTAAAGTTTGCACTTGTGTGTGCATGCATTTGGGGAATTGCAGGCTTCAACTTTTAAACGGTACTTGAAAACTTTAACGGTAAAAGCAAGTATGACATGGTAGTACGACATCAAGGTTCCTTCTTGAGTATTGAGGTAGAACATTTAAATTTTCATGGTTGGCTAATCATTGTAAACTTAAATTTATGATTATTTATAATCAAATCACATGAATTCATATTAGAATTGAGGGGTGTAGCTGGCCCAATAAGGTTTGACTTTGCCTTGGATTGGACACCAAATTGAGACACTGGGTTTTTTTGGCCCACTAAGCCTACGGGTAAAATAATTAGTCAATTAGGTCATCTTCAAAATTATTTTGGGATCTACAGCAAATGATATAGTGCAGGGTAAACTCTGTATGCACACATGATGAGTTTGTTTAAATAATATTTTTTATTTAAACTCGTCACGTTGAAGTGACGTGTTCCAATAAAATATAATTTTTTATTAGATTTTGTGATGTCGGAGTAAAAAGTTTCAATAAAAATTATATTTTATTAAAACTCGTCATGCTCAAGTGACGAGTTCCAAGTCATTATAGCAAATACCGTAGTTTTCAAAATAAAAAAAAATATGATGCCGTATTGGGCTAAATAATTAGCCGCCTATCGTATTAGGCCAATTTTGCCGAGACACTGCCTATGTATTGTGCTTCATAAACTAGTGTGCATTGGAATCCGGGTTGATCTCGATGTTCCGACACTAAAACATTGCCCGTAATGTCATCCAACAGAGCTGGAACATGCGGATTCCATACACAAACACAGAATTTCTTAAGGAGGGAAATGTTACCTCCTATTGTATAGATATATGTTTAGATTTTATAAGAGTTAATATTCATATCAGCCTATATCCTAAGTTGTGCTTTATCTGCTATGCAGATCATGATATTTCTGAGCATCGGAAGGCCGGAGTCTTTGCGGGTGAAAATTCTATAGTTTTGTATAGCATTTTATATCAACGATGCTGATGATGAACATGTATATCTTAAATCGGAAGTTTAAGCCTTTAGTTAACGGTTTCTTATTGTTTCAGGGACCGCAATAACTGTTTTGCTGCCGGAGCAATCGGTGTCAGCATCGGTATTTGGTTCTTTAGGAAAGTGAGAGCCAAAGCTCCTGTAATCAATTTGTTACAAGTATTTTATACTGCAAATAACACAAAAACAAAGACAAGCGAAGCACGAGAAACCAAGAAGGAAAACAATGTCCGCCTTCCTGCACAAGTTACATCATCCCCATTGCCGATAATAGACAGCCGATCGTAAGTCGAAAAATTAGCATGGTTTTCCAACGACACAACGTAAAGGGCCAGCATTTGATGTTAAAACAGGGACCATGTATCCGGGGGCGGTAGTGAAGGATTGAGCCCTAGTATAATGAGGAGCACAACTTCCGTAGCCGGACGAAACGAAATACGCACCATTCATAAAGACATCCTTTGACGACTGCCATCTCCAATTTTTCCAATTGCTTGCTTCTCTCTTGGTAACCTGTTTGTTGCTAGGGTTATCGGGCGCCACGAAGTAGTTCCCCTCGCTGAAAATGGTCGGATTTGCACTGCCGCCAATGGCATACATCTTCCATTCATCGTATCTGTTGTTAGCAACATGTGCATAGCCTATCCTGACCCTGCCACGGCCCCGAATAATATACATTAAAGACCAATTTACCATGATTATAATTAGACACTAACATAAACTTCCGTCGTCTCCTTTACCTCGGCATCCTCTCGATAAGTCCCTCGCCGAATCTGTTAAAAACTATCGTAACTTTCATGACTTTGTCGGCAGTGAACGTGTCTCTGTGTCCTAACAGCATCACCTGCAATATTTGGATATAATCAATTGGATAAAACTAAACACTACAATGTAAAACTCATAAGCTTTAATGCTGAACTTTATCATGTTGAGAGAAATAGTTATTGGAGATCGTGACAGCAGTTGAAGCATGAATCACATCGATAAGACCATCCCTAGAATGCGCGAGATAGCAATGATCGATCCAGATATTCGAAGACGCGAAAACACTGATAGCATCTCCGTCGGAGCCTCCACGCATTCCTACATGCGTCGGGGAGCTCCTAACCATACCGGACAACCCCGGCTTGCAGTCATGAATGCTAATCCCGTGTATTATAACATTGGTAACACCTTGAATCGTTATGCAAGGTCCATATGCAATCTCCACTTTAGCTCCTCTGCCATCAATGGTCTTAAAACTATTCACTATCAGCTCATTTTTTAGCTTTATAACCATATCTCTAGCGAAAATGATCCAAAGAGGAGCGGTTTGAATAACACTGTAACGAAGCGTGCCGGGTTTAGGGTCAACGGGATCATCATAAGGGCTTGTAACTACATATATCGCTCCGTATTTCCCTCCAACCGCTGCTTTTCCGAAGCCAACCACACAATCAGCCAAGGCTTTGCGATTGGTAGCCCAATTCGACTTGGTTCGCCAACAAGAATCGATTACATTCATAGCCTTCTTCGAGACGATGCCGGGGACATCGTATGCAAGTGGTTTTGAGGTGTAACCTTCGAGTGAAAAAGCTAAAAGAAATGAAACCAAAACGAGAGAGGCAAGGAAAGCCATTGCTTAAGTTGTTTATGAAGTTGGAACATAAAATTGAAGAATTCTTATAGGAGAGTTGAGTACTTAGTTGGTGGCAGACACGATTTAAGGACAATATTATATAATATATTTGTGTAAGTATATTTTAGTTAAGTTTTGTATGGTAAGATACGCTTCGTTGCTACATAGAACATGGCTGCACGAGCCTAGGGTCATTGACTTTTCTAGTTTTCTTTTTGCCATTGAGTGATTAGTTTCTAGATTTTTAGAATAATTAAAATTTTGATCGAAATTGACCTACATTGTTAAAACTGAAATCGTTTATTCTTTCAAATATGTCAAATAAGAGAAGAAAAAGGAACACCTCAGGGAATGTCACCGCCATTATGCTCGTTGCTTCTTCTGTTATGAATTATTCTGCAATTTCAGATAAAGAAATAGAGGAAACGGAGAGAAAGAAAGATAAGTAGAAGAAGGAATAAGACGAGAGTGTTTTGATAACAATTTTTCCTATCCCATTATGTTACACTCCTTTTCTTTATAGAGCTAAACAACTAGCTCAGAAGGCATGAATTCACCCGATGTATTTGGCTCCTCGACACGTGTTCCCTTACACAGTTGTAACGGTTTTAATTGTTTACTTGTCTGCTCCTTTGATCCCTTGTTCGTAACAATACCATCCCCTCGAAGTACCTTGTCCTCAGGATTCCAAGCAGATTACTCTTCGAAACTCCTTCCGTATCCGTGAGAAAATCAACCTTGCTTCTAACCTTGACATATCTCTGAGTCTTGTATCCATTAACCAAATCAAAGCAACCAACACAATGTCTATTCAATTTCTTACCAATCAAACAGTTTAAATTCTTGCAACATAGGTCACCCTAAGCAACATTCTTGTCATTAACATGTTTCTATAGAGAAGCAGGTAAAGAAGGGAGACATGGTTTAGGAACAGTCTTGGCAAAGCATCTCCTTCTCGGAAAAGGCTCACATCCTTTCGAGATTACCTTCTGACCAACGCTCCAGTCATCGGGACAAGGACTACAAACCTTGTAACTCATGTACTGCCGATATGGGTTTAACTAGACAAAAACAAAATTGTTTGTTATGCTTGTATAATGCCAAACATCCTCCTTGCTCGGATCTACAACAACTTTTGCAAGTTCGACGACCCCATCACTTTTAACAATATTAATTACTACAGCAGGAAAAACATCAAAACTCCCACAAATATCTGGTTGCAGCCTCTCAAGAAGGAACCACTTAAAAACAAAGCTAACATCATTGCCTTCAAAACTTACAACGAATTGAGTCATATACTTTCCCATTATAAAAAGCCTAAACTTATAAGGATCGTCAAACTTAATCAATACATTTTCATGTGTAAACACGAATGAATGAATCCCTTCAAAATTTACCCCGACATGACTAACTAAGAAAATGAAATACCTAATAGATAATCTCTTATATTTATTCCTTGTAGGTTGTGATTTGTATCTACCATCAACAATATACGACACATACAACATCGAGGAGTTTAATGTTGAATATTCAACAATGTGAAAATCAAATTCAGACTCACTTTCACTGAGGTAATTTTCTGTAATTATCAAGAATTCGTTTGTAATCTTAATCAATGATGGCTCTTATGCTTGACTAGCCTTATCTTCGACATGATGTTCTGAGATCTCGATAGGTTTAGATGAACCTAAGATCATTGTTGTATCAGTTTGAAAATCAACCCTTTCGCTATCCTGGATCATTGGATATGCAATTTCATTATCAACTAATGGTGACAATCCATTGAACACGTAGTGAGCATTTGTGCTTGTGTCATTTTGTTTAGGCTCAACTTTCTCCGAACCATCAATTTCAGAGTGTTCCTTGAACGTCAATCCCAACTGCATTTAGATTGCAGTTATTTGACGCATTACATCTCGAAGTAGCTTATGGTTCTTTTCAGTTGCTTGCTTCTGCTTCTCGACGTGAGCTTCAAGGGAGTCCAGCAATTGTTCATGGCGAGCGACAATCTCCTGCAAACTTTTAATGGTCTCTGTTTCATTCATCATGGCTTAGTCTCTCAACAAAGCACCGATGTTATGAACTATTCTACAATTTCAGATAAAGAAGTAGAGGAAATACAAAGAAAGAAATATTTAGAAGAAGGAATAAGAGGAAAGTGTTTTGATAACAAGTTTTGTTATCCCATTCTGTTACTTGGCTGCTCCTTTGAGAACATCTTCATTGAGTAATTTGCCTCGAAGAATATGCGAGCTTGTTTCCTCAGCTGCACCGCAAACAATACAAGACGGATCAGAGGAAAGCCTTTTGTGATGCTTCAAAATCTGTGTATTTTTATTATTTGCGTCCCATTGCTTATCATTATTCTTTATAATTCATAAAAGAGTTATTTTTCCTTTTACCAACAACCAGTTGGTCTATTGGGGTGAGGTTTGAATCCTGACGATTACGAATGGAGTAAACTGGGTTGAGAGGGTCCCTTATCTTTGCAGTCCTCGATCTGAATTAATTGATCAATAAATTAAATACCGATGATTATACAAAAAAAATAGTATTTTCGTGTGAGGGACTTGAACCCTTTTAAGTCTCATCGATTCAAGTCTCTTGCACACAAATACTCACATATTGCCACCTCCAACTCTTCACATACCCATGTGAACCCTTTGTAAACTACTCAAAAAGACACTTTAATTTTGTCAATCTATCATGCCTCGATATACAGCAGGAAATATAAAATCTCGCGGCTAAAATCAACCACAAATACCTTAAAAATACACCAATTATTGAAATTCAACCTACATGTTAACTGAATTTCGGAATGGTATCAGTGATGAAAGAGAGTATGTTCTTCTTTGATGATCTGAATTCGAACAACTTAATCAACACATATGCATAAGTATAAATGTAAGTCTTCTCAAGAAAAGAAAAACTGGCATACGATCTATGGCCAATGATAGGCTAATTTTCATTATGTCTAACTAGTGGTGGATCTAGAAATATTTTTTAAGGTGGACATATATATATTAACAACATAATTTTTTTTAAATGGGATGGGTACAAATAAAATTTGAGAGTGGGCACCGTCCTTAAAATAAATAACTAATCGAAGAAAACTCAGATTTCAAGGTGCTCCTTCAGTAAAATAAGTAACTAATTGAAAAAAATCAGATTTCAAAATAGACATGTGCCAAGCCTTACCAAGTTGTGGCTCTACCACTGTTTCTAACACAAAATATAATAAAGTAAACTATATCATATACCACTGAACTTTCAATTGCTTTAATTATAGTATTGAACTTTGATTTTGATTTCAATTATACTATCGAATCGTTAAATTTTAGTGCTCGAGACGTGAATAATCTTCTCGTCACTGTGATGACATGAACAAAACTATGCCATCTTAGTGCGACTATTAATGTCCAAAATGACATCATTTCTAAGCGTTAAACTTTAAGGATGAATCAATTTTGTTACTAGACTTTAAAAATATTCAGTTTTAGGCACTAAATTTTTTCGACAGTCGTTGGTAACAATCAGTGCCCATCATTGGTCACCATTCGCAACAAGATTGGTATCAAAACATTCATGTTCTACTCATCTTTCTTCTCATTGAATTGGTTTTCCACAAAATCTACTCAAAATTGACAAAAATTCATCTAAACATTTGACGTGCTAATACTCTGATCTCATCCAATATTATTCAATGAGGCTAGTTTTGAGTATGGATGGCAAACGGGCGGGTCGTGTGCGGATACCCCCTCCCCTATCCTTATACCCACCTAATATTTTCAAATCCACCACCCGCCCACCACCCATGCTGAGTAAAATTTTTCAAATCCACACCCGCCCACACGGGTACATTCTCAAATCTATCCCCACACCCACTACCCAACTGGAGACGTACCCAGATAGACTCGCCTTACAACAACCTTAAGTTATACATAAGCAACAAACATAAAACAAACACGTCCATTAAGAAACATAATAAAATAAACCAAGGATTATCTGAGTTAAGTGTTAACATAGATCTTAAAGTACATAAAACACCATAATAAAAGACATAATTAAAGCCTAGAAATATAAATGACAAACACATAATATTTTTGTTCTTTGATACACATAAATGAAAAACCCTAAAATTATATCTAAATTTATAATGGTCAAAATTTAATGGGTATTTAGTGGGCGGACAGATGCAGGACGGGTAAGGTCTCAAACCCATCATCCGCCCACTACTCGCGACGGGTACCACTTTCTTAATCCACACCCGCCCACTACCCACTAAAGTTATACCCATCTCCGCCCCAATTGGAGCGGGTACGGTGCGGAATCCACGAAATTGTACTCGTTTGTCATCCCTAGTTTTGAGATATGTTGTTTATCTTCTCAAAATATTACTTCTCACGGTTCAAATTTTTAAATAAACAACCCAGACTAATCAAATACGAGAAAGCTGTTAAAGCCCCTAAAAGAATATTTTATTGAATATATAAATTTTATCTAAATCCAATCTTGATTTAAAAAATTAATAAAAATCTAAACTTGACCTTTCAAAAATATATTTTCAAAAATCAAATTAAATCAAAACACACCTATTTCATTAATAAAAATAAAACAATGAACTAAATCACAAACCAAATCACACTCCTGCTAAAAGACTAATTAAGAGACACGCATTGGTATAGGATTATTAAAAGAAAGGGTAATCATGACATTTCAATAAATTATCTTGAAACCCTAATAATTTTATTTGCCTATATAAGGGGCCTCCATTCATATCCTTCTTTGTTTTGTCATTTGTGTATAAAAAGTCTTAGATCTCTCTTGGGTAAATAAGATGAAGAGCCTCTTTTTGTGTTGGAATGATGTAAGGTATGTTATTATATTAAACCCTTTCTTTTCTTTTAAAAGTTTTAGGTTATAGATTTTCAATTTTATTAATTTAAAGGGAAATTGAGGTATTTTATTTGTGAAAAACAAGTAGGTTTGAAAATTTTAGA